ACGTGTGTGCGTGTGTGCGCACAGGTGCCCATGCGTATGTGTGCATGCATGTGTGCAGGGGTCCATGTTTGTGTGTGTGCATGCAAGTGTGTGTCTGCATATTTGTATCTGTGTGCACGTGTGTGTGTGTGGTGGCATAGGTTAGTCTGGGCTCTGCGTTGGCCGATTTGGCTCAAATCCCTCATGGGTGGACCATGCGGCCTTGAGACCATCTGCGTGTAGCTTTCCCAAGTCTCACCCCCTCACCTGTGAAGTGGGGATGATCACCCCCGTCCCGCGTGTCATGGGTGCCACATCCCGGCCTGTGTGGGAAGTGCTGAGCCGGCCCGGTGCGCGGCCTGCACCCATGACAAGAGCGATTCCCAGGCAGCCTCGCCCATAGATGGGGGAGGTGGTCCCCTCCTTGGAGTCCTGGGGAGCCCTGAGTGCCCTCGGGCCAAGAATGCCCACCCCAGGGGCACTGCCCCCACCTCCAGATGTCCCCAGCACCCTAATCATACGTGTCACGCTCTAGGCCTGGATGAACAGTCTGGATCATGCACTGATTGAGCATACCTATTTGGAGTACCTGCCTCGGACCCGTGGCTGGGCCAGGGGCTGGGCCACAGCAGTGAAGCCAGCAAACACCCCCGGAAGGGTCGGGGGGGCTTTCAGAACCCTGAGCCCTGGGGACGAGCATGGTCTCCTGGGTGGGGAAGGGGCATTTGAGGCCGAGAGAACAGGGGTGGGGGGTGGGAGTCTGTGCGAGGCGGGAGCAGCCTTCTGCAGAGGGTCCCGCTAGGGCCCGTCTGAGTGCACCGTGCAGAAAGTCTGCCCTCCACCCTGTAGGAAGCGAGGGGTCAAGAGCCAGTGTACATCACAGGGGTCCCCGTCCCCACGGTCAGAAGCGCTGTGGTGCTTAGAGGGGCCGAGGTCAGCGTTGGGCCTCCCACCATACACAGGCAGGCGGAAAGGAGGAGGGTCACAGCTGGTGAGAGCCACGGGAGACCCCTGGAGCCAGCAGTGCCCGAGCGCCTCCGCCCCCTGGCTCTACAGTGACGCGGCACTAGGACTGACCCCGACGGTAGCCCACCCTGCCGGTGGGGAGAAGCCTGGCTCCCGGATGCCCCACACCCCACCCAGTGCTCGCGCCTTAAGCGCGCTTGTTCTGATGAGACCGGCCTTGCCCATGGCCATGGCTGCTCTTGGGCAGTCAGCCTGGGTGGGGAGCGTCTCCC